CTTTCTTGTCAGAGGAGTCTTTACCTCCTCGCTCCATTACCTACCAAAATGGTTGGCGCGCAGACGCTTACCGGTTACAGCTTGCTCCCCTTCCTTTAGCCCATCCAATTCTTTGGATACCTCATCCCCTGAAGTTCTCAATTCTCCAGCCCTTAGAGACGGAAGGAGACCTTAACTGCTTCCGCTTGGTCTAATGAAATTGAGATTTCTGGTGGAGTAGGATTGATCCCAATCTCAATATATTCTCCAGTTTCCTGGAGATCGAGAGCTTGTCTTCTCTCGTTAGGGTTGTCAGTAGTACTAGTATCCTCTACAGCCTGATATCCCATTGTAGGCACTGACTGGTAGTTGACTAACGGTTGGGTGGAGCCTACTCTCCTACTCCCTTTCTCGACCGGAACTGAGGTATCTCTCTCCTGCTCCGTAAACTTTTCCTTGTTCATGTCTATTTCCGTTTTTGTTGTTTTTTTGCTACGATCCTGGGCCCGCGCCACTGAGCACTAGGGAACTTTTTTTATTTAACAGGTGGTTTCCCACTGTGCAAGACTGTTGGTCCACGGGTGTTGTTATATTTCACACTTAACTGGCGACACCAGTGTCACTGAGGGCATTCCCTTATCCGCCACCTAAGAATGCGTCCGGTTGGGGACTTGTTAATATTACGCAAATTGTCATTATCCAGATTTTTACATAAGACTGCATTTGCACGCCCTCGTCGTCAGGATTGCCCTCATAATACATAAAGTATTATGAAGGCAATCGCTGTTAAATAAATGCTAAATAAACGTATTTCCTGAAAGAAATAATACCCTTAATATTGCCAGTAATTTCATATATTAGATCTATATGGTATTTGTTTTGGTTTTTACTAACAGATAAATTGTAATTGTGATTTATAAATTAGTTGGATATTTAATGAAAACGAACTGTTAAAACATCTTTAACTTCCTCGACAACAAAAACACTAGGGTCATCTCTTAACTTCTGTAGTGTCATATTTACATTGTTCACTATTTCAAAAGATTCGGATAAAGATAGCTACTAAAGAACGTCTCATTTTTTGATAAAATTTGGAATCTGCCGATATATTTTCCATCTGAAAAAAAAATTTCTTGAAAATATTGTACAAATTATGTAAAAAATAACCTGGTTGAGGCACACATTTTGGCAACTTTTTTTAGCAAATTTCAACGGGAACACAGGAACCTGAGATATAAAACAATGTGTAAAATTTGTGAAAATTATCTATTTAGAATTTGTACCATTAACGTCGGTAGAAATGGAACGTTAATATTCCTTGTACAAGCATATGCAGAGACCAAATTGCTCAAATTAAACAACCATGAATGAAGAATAAATATTTAATTATGACCATGAATGCTAATGCGATGTCAGCCCTCAGTCATTTTGAATAATACATTCTACCAAGCGTTATGTATTTCAATATTCATTTTATATATTTGCTTTTATTTGTCTACGTATGTCAGTGTCGCCCTTTGTCAACCATGCGCCAGTAGCTACCGGTCCTGAATTATGGTTCAGTTTCCTCTCCATGTTCACAACACGTCAAAATGTAGAAACCACGCGTTTCCCACATTTGTGTGATTAGGGAACTTGCAATCGCTAGTTCTTATACCACTGGTGTGGGGATACAAACTTCCCGAACTTGTTATGAAAATAGCTATTTTGACGCATTCTAATAAAAAAAAAAATGAATGCCTTTCATCCTAGGACTAGCAGTCTCGTTTTTAGAGTCAACGCTTTTTAAGTTTTTAAATTTACATACTTAGTTTTAATGTCATATTTGCACATAAGTAAAGCACGGACATCGGTCAGTAGGTCAATGAAACAAAATATTCTAACGACATAAACCCAAATAGGGTTGAAACATTTTTTAATTTTCGATTTCAATCTCATATGTCACATACATATAATTTGATTATTAGAAGACGCAAACAAAAGACAACTACAATGTTTTTATTAATGTCATGTGAACAGTTTCTCATTAGCAATATCTATTGGCTATATATCATCCAAATGTGAGGAAATTTGACGTTTATATTTCGTAAAATAACAACTTATATATTATTTTAATGTTAAAAGGTGGCCTTAAAAGGTGTGTACTTAAATACATAGACACAAATCACTAATTAACAAAACTTAAATACAGTGCATAAGTCCATAACCAACTATGTTATGCTGGCGTTTTATTGCCTTATGAGCTTTTGTGTTTGATCTGGGCAGTTTCACCATATATCATTATGAGCATTAATTTGTTTTTTGTAATATATTTGGCTTTTTTATTAAGTATCTTGGATTAGTTTTATTAAAGGAAATTGAGAATTTATTTTGTGGCTGAAAAGATTTTTGGTCAGTTTCTTAGGTAATGTAAATAATCAATTCTATACTTGAAATATTTCGTATTACAAAAATTAATCTGAAAATAGATGATATTTAAAAACGCAACAGAAAATCCATTTGCAGTAGAAATAAATTCATGATAATAGACTGAGAGCTCGCGTGAAAAAAACCTCGTGATAAGATATCAAAGGTTTATCTAGAAATAAAAAAATGTATAGTTCATTAATAACGTAGCCGTTCGTCTGCCATTCGCAATGGGTTGCCTAAATTAGCAAAATGAAATTAATTTGGAAAAAATCAGTCACAATCTCATGATCTAATATAAATGTTGGCTCAAAATGAAGTAAAATTATGCTGACTCAATATATGAAAACAAATTTTGAGCAGACGGTCCATTTCGCCGGCAGACGTCATCACAGATTGTCATTTCATCTCCCCCTTAGCGCTTAAGCGACAACACGGTAGAAGGAGACGTCTGCCGCTATCAATATTATTCGAGTATACACAAGACCGAATTTTCATAATCGATTTCAAACGTTCTACACTTTTAATATTAATAATAATACAGGCAATTTAAAAAATAATTTTTAATTTTATTATATAGTACAAATTTCAAAATATTTTTAAAAGCCAGTACTGTGTTGGCTGTGGTTGCGACTTGATTTTTTCCATTTTTTAATTTCATTATTGCTAATTTGGGCGATCAGTTGCGAATGGCAGACGAGCGGCTGTTTTTAACGAACTATACACTATATATTTCTGGAGTCAAACCTTTGATATCATATCACGCGGTTTTTTCACGCTCTCTGTCTGTAATGTAGATGTAACTTGAGAGCAATTTACAAAGTACTAAAACAGTGGTTTTTAAAAAATCATATCCATCGTATTAGTTACCTGGAAGGTAAAAATTATAGAAAATTTCCTCAACTTTGATGATTAATATTGTATTAAAGATATATTTGCAATAAACAAAAAAATAAACAACTTTAAAATAGACTGCAAAAATTGCACGAACAAATTTTAATACATTTTTTGGTAAACATTTCTAAAATAAGTCCGTGACAAACCGAAAGTTGCATATTCCATTGCTACAATCTACAGGAAATTGTAGAAAATTATATAAATATATCTTTATCTACATGTCCAGAATGTATAGGTAACATAATATTATTATATAAAAGTTTTTTTAATAATATTCCAGATAACGATTTAAATGAAGTACTTGTTGTTTTGTTTTATTTACGGAATGGTAAATTTATTTTCTACAGTTAAAACTTATAAAAACTTTCACATTTCATTACAATATTTCAAACCATTAGGTTTTAAAAGACGTGCTCCTAATTGTGCAAAAATAATAAAAGAAGTAAGCATCGGTGGTTCAGTGGTAGAATGCTCGCCTGCCACGCGGGCGGCCCGGGTTCGATTCCCGGCCGATGCATTTGTGTTTTATTACATTTTAAGTGCAGAAATATGTAAGAAAGCGTTTCACGTAGTAAACATAATTTTCTTCTAATAAGCATCGGTGGTTCAGTGGCTCACCCTAACTACACTCCCTTCATACATCCTTGAACCACCCTGAACCCCTAACTTTGCTTTGATGCCGCTTCTTCTCCCTCTAGCCCAGATTTACAGATACTTTTCTGACCGCATTTTTCGAAGCAGATTTTTTCATAGCTTTTCCTGCGTGCACCGACGACACCCCTCCCTTTTTTAATATTTGTTCCTCTTATTGTTATCAAAAGCTCATAGCATTTATTTATGAGCTCTATATTGTTGCAGGAGGGAACCGTAAACCACAAAACAAAAAAGCGTAGCCAGAGCAACAGGACACATCATCGTCCAGCCACGGAGGGTCCTCCCACCGTAAGGCGGGATTATAGCTGTGGCGGTGCTATTATTTTGTAACTAATGCATTGTTGTTCTATCATTTCATGTATTTGATGTATTGTTTATATGTATTATATTATGAAAATGAGATACACCCTAGTTAAGGTAGAAATGTACCAACCAAAAAAAAAAAAAAATTAATTTGGAATTTGGAATTTGGTGGTAATCAGTGGTAGAATGCTCTCCTCTCACGCAGGCGGCCCGGGTTCGATTCCTCGCCGATGCATTTTTGTTTTATTACAATTTAAGTGTAGAAATATATAAGAACCCATTTCACGTAGTAAATATAATTTTCTTCTAATAAGCATCGGTGGTTCAGTGGTAGAATGCTCGTCTGCCACGCGGGCGGCCCGGGTTCGATTCCCGGCCGATGCATTTTTTGTTTTATTACAATTTAAGTGTAGAAATATATAAGAACGTAGTTCACATAGTAGATATAAGTTTCTTCTAATAAGCATCGGTGGTTCAGTGGTAGAATGCTCGCCTGCCACGCGGGCGGCCCGGGTTCGATTCCCGGCCGATGCATTTTTGTTTTATTACAATTTAAGTATAGAAATATATAGGAACGCATTTCACGTAGTAGATATAATATTCCTCTTATAAGCATTGGTGGTTCAGTGGTAGAATGCTCGCCTGCTACGCGGGCGGCCCGGGTTCGATTCCCGGCCGATGCATTTTTGTTTTATTACAATTTAAGTGTAGAAATATATAAGAACGCATTTCACGTAGTAGATATAATATTCCTCTAATAAGCATCGATGGTTCAGTAGTAGAATACTCGCCTGACACGCGGGCAGCGCGGGTTCGATTCCCGACCGATGCATTTTTTGTTTTATTACAGTTTAAGTGTAGACATATATATGAACGCATTTCTCGTAATAAATATAATTTTCTTCCAATAAGCATCGGTGGTTCAGTGGTAGAATGCTCGCCTGCCACGCGGGCGGCCCGGGTTCGATTCCCGGCCGACGCATTTTTGTTTTGTTACATTTTAAGTGTAGAAATATATAAGAGAGCGTTTCACATAGTCGATATAATTTTCTTCTAATAAGCATCGGTGGTTCAGTGGTAGAATGCTCGCCTGCCACGCGGGCGGCCCGGGTTCGATTCCCGGCCGATGCATTTTTGTTTTGTTACAATTTAAGTGTCGAAATATATAAGAACGTATTTCACATAGTAGATATAATTTTCTTCTAATAAGCATCGGTGGTTCAGTGGTAGAATGCTCGCCTGTCCGCATATGGTAGAGGCATCGGAGTACTAAGCCAAGTGGAAGGTAAAAGGGAACGTCGCGGTCGCCTAGTCGGAGACTATAGTGTTCACCAGAATGAAAATTAACAGTAAAATAATTACACTTATTTCGATAGGGGGCAACCCAATTGAGATCAAACAAGACGTTAAATATTTAGGCGTAACTTTGGATAAAGGACTTTGTTTTGGAAAACATGTTAACGAGACAATATATAAAGTCTATTCATTGTCCGGGAGTTGCTATTCCTTGATGGCAAGGATAGCAAACTCAACAGGGATAATAAAAATTAATTCCCACTATGATAGTGAGACCGGCTCTAGTATATGCTGTTCCGGTCTGGTGTTCTGCAAGCACGACGACGCTACATAAATTGCAGGTACTGGAAAACAAATTCCTTCACCTCATCAGTACCTTAACAAGATATACCCCTCTAAGGGAATTACGACAACGTTGCAACATCATATCCATAGTGGACCATATCAGAGATACCTCACAAAAATTTTACGAATTTAAACTCTCTGATTGTCCACTAACCGCCAACACTACACGCGCCATTTCGAATAAAACACAAATTACCGTACCAAACGTTACCAATTTTCAGACAACATTTTTAGACCACGGTCCTCCCACAAAATGGGAGGACACTCCCACATTATAAAAGGGGCGCCAAAATTACAAATTTTGTTCTCACTTTTCTCTTATTTTCTTTTTGTTCGTTTTTGTTATCAAATATTCCCCAAATAATTTATTCCAAATTATAAGCAAACCATCAGTAAATTGCGGCACATTATTATATACACGAAATATCATTAAATACCCAAAAATAAGCGGAGTTGGGTATTCCCGCTTCCCAATTCAGTATTGTTTAGAGGCGAGCTTTTTACTGTGACAGTTTGGCTCGTCGAAGCATCGTCAAAATTCAAAATTATTATACACAAATTTATACAATTTTATATATTCTTTTTGCATTATTTTAAAGTCTTACATCAACGGCGCATGCGTCTTTGTTTTCTCCAATTTTCAGACAATATATTTAGTTCTCGCTCCTCCCAAAAACATGGGAGGACATGCCCACATTATAAAAGGGGCAAAAAAATTCAAAATTTGTGTTACCTTTCTCTTCTTTTCTTTTTGTCCATTTTTGTTATCAAAATTCTCCACAAAATTTATTCTAATTATATAAACCAAACAACAGTAAATTATGGCACATTATTATATACAATAAATATAAGTTGAGTTAGACATTCCCGCTCCCCAGTTTCATATTATTTATAGGCGAGCTTTTTACTGTGCAGCTTGGCTTGTCGTGGCATTATCAAAATCCAAAATTTATATAAACAATTTTTTACAATTTACCTTTTTTATTTTTACATTGTTTAAAGTTATTATATCAACGGCGCTTGCTCTTGCAAGCGTCATTGATTTTATGTTTCAAGCGTTATTATACAATTTTAAATGTTTATATTATAGGTGTTGTGTTACTGTTTAATAGCTTTAGTTTTAAGCTCGGACCGGCCCCGCTTCGCCCTACCTACCAACTGCCCCATCGCCACCATATACGACGCTGCTAGGTTGGCAAAGGACCTGGTGTCCGGCGGGGACAATATACAATCTGTTTATGTTTTAATGTCAATAAAATTGTTTTGAATTGAATTGAATTGAAATTGCTCGCCTGCCACGCAGGCGGCCTTGGTTCGATTCCCTGCCGATGCAATTTTGTCTTATAATTTAAATGTAAAAAAATATTTATGAAACGTCTCACGTAGTAAATTTTATTTATTTCTTTATGTATGATATTTGAAAGTATATTACGGGCATTAAGAGGATAGACGTAACACAACATATCTAATCTCAGTTAAAGCACCACAGGTGCTCAATTTACTTAAATATAAACGACTTGCCCACATTTTCTGAAACTAGATTAATCTCAGCGTTAGTATTAATTGTAACGTTAAAGCTCACAAAACATATCAAATTACTTATCGTGAATAGAGAGCGACTGCATGCGCTTAGACATCATGATTGATAAAGAAAAAGCATCTGATACAGCATTAAAAATGTATTTCATGTTAGTCCTGGATATCTAATTTATCCTGTGATTGTGTAGACAACAAAACTATGCCAGAACATTGCCGCTAATGTGTGGACAATGTAGAATCACTTTGACACGGCTGGACGTCAACTATTTTCTGAGAGACATTTTTTTACTGTCAACAAGATTCGCCGAAGTGTTTAAGAAACTAACGTTTTACCTACTCTGACTCGAGTATAAAAAATAAAACCGAGAAATTTATTCGCTTTAATAACGGTTACGAATATATTACATTAAAAATAATCTATACCAAAAATACCATAACTGAGTTATTTAAAGGACGGTATTATAGAAACCGCTGCGCTTAAGGGATTAGTTTAACTCAATATTTTGAAGACACGTTTTTGCTTATTAAAAAAATAGTTCACACATCTAGAAAATAAATATACAAACCGGAATATGATATGATTACTAAATGACATATTTCACAATAAAAATTAAGGTTTCTGAAGAATTATTGTTTCCGATTTCAAAATAATTTAAAAGAATCCTTTGGCGGTGTTAAATTCTTTGTACAACGATTGATAAACAAAAATATGCTTTGTCTTCCGTTAATACAGAATTGTCAAATATTTTCGAACTGTTTTAACAAATGAAAAAAGTAATTTTTTGGAACATTAACATAATTTTTTATTTAAAATATTTTCCAGATCATTTTTATCTCAGAAGTTTACTTAATAATGTTTGATAATTTTATTAGGATATCAAAAAATGTAAGAGAATGTTATAGAATATTTTAAACCAATAGCAGCTTTATAAATAATCTAATGGGAAAATACAAACTCATAGAAAATTTAGAGATAAGCAAAACTCATTTTTGAAATTATAAATACAGTGTGACCCACTTAAGATAAAGATGCCCCTGTAACTTTTTTTCTATTTTTTTTTTTTAAATATATGAAAGAAATTTGCTTTTTAATGTTTCAAAAATATTTTATTATAAACTCTACACGTGTTTCGGCTTTTTAGGCCTTTGTCAAGAGTACAGGGAATACTGAACAGTAAAATTTGTGTTCATTGCTTATATATAACCACATCTGGTACCTACTATAAAACTATTGTAAAGTATGTTTTTAAAAGCTGAATATTACTTAATTTTTAAAATCTAAATTATTTTATTTAAAACATGGTGGCCGGTAAAAATTTGTTGTTCATTCGTTACATTTTTTTTTATTCTTAACAGCCTTACTTATTTCTAATTGTTCTAATAGATCAAGTCTCTTTCCTTTCTTTTTCCGAATGGAATAATTTGACATTATTTAAATCTATAAAATGACTGTTTTCTATACAATGTGTTGACATGCCCGTACTATATACATTGTTTACAATAGATTTCCCTGTGTTCCTCGAATCGCTTTTTTACATTTCGTCCAGTTTGTCCAATGTATATAGCTTCACAGTCACTACATTTTAACTCATATACTCCTGTTTTTTGTAGCTCTTCAGTTTTGTCTTTATTATTAATTAACATTTTACCTAAATTATTTTTATTTACTGAAATTGTTCTACATCCCAGTTTATTCAGTTTATTACTAACTCTATTGCTGATCTTAGGCCTATAATTAATACATTTATATCTCTTATTGCATTCCTGAGAAGAAGCGGCATAAAACTTTTACGTACATTTTTCTTTTGTTTGTTTTTTATTAGTTTATCAATTAGGTTTTCTTTATAGCCATTGTTTCTCGCAATTTCCTTTGATTACGTTAACTTCTTTTTTAAAATTCTCTTCGCTTAATGGAAATGTTAATAGACGATGTATGTAGCTGTGGAATGGTGCCATTTTTATTTGCAATGATTGTTTAGATTTACAATTTTACACTTTTTTCTTTTTCAGGATAGAGATTTCCATTTTGACATAGATCTAGAACATCACAAGCTGCTTCTTCGGAGCTCTTTAGTTCAAATGTCAAAAGACACCACAGCCTACTACAACTCCGCGAATAGGGCCAATTTGCAATATTTTGCTTCGCATTCCAGATATCGAAAAAAGTTGTTTCAGCGCAAAGTTAAAAAATCTGAGTAGATAGCCACGGAAACAACTGAAAATAACAGAATATAATCTTTTTAATGTCAACAATGCAACAACTCAAAAACAGTAATGAAAACAATATAATAATTATCGAATATAGTCTGCTTTAACTAGTGCTCCACCAATTCTTATGCATTTTTCGATTCTCTTGCGGTTGTGGTTGGCTACCCTCCTAAGTTCTGTGATATTAATTTCACGAAATGCTTCTCTTATTCTCTCGCAAAGTTCGTTCCGATTTCGAAGTCCCGTTTTGTAGACTTTATTTTTGACAGTTCCCCAGAAATAATGGTGTATCATCGGGAGACCGAGGCGGCCACTCTTCAAACGGACTATTTCTACCTATCCAACGTAATGCAAAATATTCATTTACCCACTGACGAATAACTTGGGCATTATGAACGGAAGAACCGTCTTGCTGAAAATACATTTCTTGCCTCACATCCGGGA